GCTTCGGTTTTCCCCGTGCTATGGAGGAATCGCTGCTGAGGACAGGGTCCCTCCTGGCAATGCTGCGCTTCACCCCAAGGACCCCCCCGTGCTGCCGGCAGGGAGCTGGGCTCTCCAACAGGGCACAGCGGGCAGCAGGAGATCAAAGTGCTGGGCACTGCCCTCCCGGCCGGGCGCGGGGACGCGGGCCCTTTCTGATGGGGCTTTTCATCCCTATTAGCGCCGTGAAAGGCTGAGCCATGAGATCAGCTGCCAGGAGCTGCGCGGGGACAGCGCTGAGCCGAAAAGGTCAGGAGGGAGGAGGAGAAGAGAAAAGAGGCAGAGGCTTAAGGGACAGGGCTCAACAAAATCGCATTTACCGTGGTCACGGTCTTCAGACAAGCCTCCGAGACAAGGAACCGCGTGTTGTCTAAGGGCCATTATTTGGGTTTGACATGTCCAGAGCAGGGGCTTTGAAGTTCTGAGTCAGGCACGGCGAGAGCCTGCTCGTCCCCCACGCCACTGCCACCTCCCGCAGGGATCCCAAAAGCGGGGCATCCCCCATTACCCCATCGCCCACAGACCTCCAGGACCCCTACGCCTAACCTCAGCTCCAGGACCTCCAGATTCAAGTTGGACCAGCTCCGGGACCCCCAAACTGGGGGCCAGCTCCGGGCCCCCTTGACCCACCAGCCAGGGAGGAGGAGCCCATGCGCACAGCTCAGTTCCCACAGCGCGTCCCTGCAGCCATGTCGCAAGGGCAAGGAGGTTGCGCAGCTGCAGCCCATTTGGGTGAAGCATGAGGAAGTTGGTTAATTGGGGTTTTATCAGCTGAAGTTCACAGCTCTCATCACAGCATCAAACAGCACTTTTGCTTTCAACTTGATTTCACCCATCGAGTTGTGGGACAGGAGATGAGGAGCATATGAAAGCAGCCGCATTCAAATGGGACCAGCAGGAACGCAGCAGAGCGCGTGGCTGGCGGGCACCCAGCACGGCCCCCCAGCAGCACTGCAGCTGTGCACATAGGAGACAAGGAAGTACAGCAGTGTGTCCCAAAAAAGTTAAAAAAAAAAAAAAAAAAAAAAGAAGAAGAAGAAAAGGAGGATTCTGGCATTTGGCAGTACACAGGTGACCCTCGTCTCCACATTAAAATTCAATCTAGAATAGAAATAGAAAAGTGCTGAGGAAGAAAGGCCCAGGGATGAGACCCACATCGCAGAGGCAGCAATGGCTGACAACAATAGCTCTTGCCAGGTTGGGTCTAATTGCATCTAAAAACAGAAATGCAAGACAAGGGGTTTAAGGGAACAGCCGGTGTAATGTATCTGGTTTTGCTGAATTCTGCTGCCAAAAAATGTTAGATTGGATTACAAACATTATTACATCAAAAATGGATTGAAGGGCTTAAAGACCAACAATCAACAGCAAACGCATTTGGTTTGTGAAGCACACATCTTCTGCAGCCTCCCTTTACTTCAGCACTTCCAGCTAATGACCCTGCAGAGGACAGGCATCCAGCAGCTGCCTTCCCACTGCTTGCCCTGGGGGGGGGACAGGTCAGGCGTGAGTCTGCCCAGGGTGCTCACAGGGGGACACGAAGGAGGCGCACCCAAAAACCAGAGAGATGCTTCTGGGCAGGGGATGAGGACACGCACAGAAGCGGAACAAATCACAGGAAATTGGAGCAGATAAGGCTGAAACGAGGTACAGCCAGGTCTGAGACCCTGCAACAGACATCTCCGGGACCCACCAACACCTCTGCGACAGCACAACTCTGCAGTTATCACCTCCTACAGCGTTTTGCTCCTGTAAGCCCACAGAGCATCTGCTGGTTTGTTTGTAAGCACTGGGAGCCATCCTTCCCTCACAGTACAGCTATGTACAAGTGACTGCTTCCTCACCTGCACGACCTAAATCCCCCCCTGCACACAATGCAGCCTCACTGCTGACCCTGGGAAAGGCAGCAGCACCCACATCCATTCATGGGTCTGAAGGGAAAACCCAGCCCAACCCCTCCACTGACTGCCCAGCAGCCTGCCCAGGCTGGGCTTTGTGCTTGGGAAAGGAAGTGAAAATCTGCTTTTGCTGGACTCACCTCCCCATAGAGCAAAGCAGGGATTGCACCTCACAGAACCTCTCCCCTTCCCATCACCAGGTGCCGACCGGACCCCAAAAGCAGGGCACCAAACACACAAGAACCCCTGGGCTGCCCCGAGCCCACATCTGCCAAGGAGCAATAATGGAAGCAAAGCACCAAATACGCAAACAGTGCCCCATCCTGCAGCCCTGCCGAGCCTTTGTGCATGGCCCCGCCGCACAGCCAGGAGCTCCTGCATCTTTTTCTTTATGAAAAGGCTTAGGGAGAGGAATCACCTTCCCCTGTCCAGCCGCGGGAGAAAAGATGCTTTTAATGAAAGCCTCCGGCTGGCATTGAGGGGCTCGGCGCGAGGACTCAGAGAGGATGGGGAGAGGTTACGTTTGCTTTCAAAAGCCTTTTTCATCGCTAAAGCAGCCTAAGCCGAGGGCTGAGTGTCCCTCGGTGATAAAAGTGGCCCTAAACGAGGCTTGGCATATCCAACGTGACGCGGGGGAAAGGGGGGGCGGCCCTGAATGGCGGGGATGGGGCGGCGGGCGCTCGCAGCGGGGCTGGGACGGCACAGTCCTGCAGCCGCCCGTGTGCTGCATCCCCGGCTTAGGGAGGGCAGGAGAAAAGGAAGAAAAATCCTTTTGTGTATCCGGGCAGGCTGGGGGAAAGGAGAATACAAAAAAAAAAAGACAACACGTGGGTGGTCTGCTCGGGAGACTTTTGACTTTGTTTTTTCGGCTATTTTGTTTCTTGGCAGAAGGAGTTCCTGGGGCTGCTGGGCAGAGGCTATGGGCAGATCACAGGAGCATCCCCAGCCCACCCAGAGGCCAAAGAGCAGCGCACAGCGGCCGCCCGGCCCCCGCGCAGCCGGGGCTCGCATCAAAGCACGGAGCAGTCAGGAGAAATTAAAGTCAGAAATGGTCGGAGCCGCGCGGGCAGGGGGCACCAGGGGGGGGGCACCGCAGCACCAGCCCCGCTCCTGGGGCGGGCAGTGGGAGTGTGACTCCAGATTCCCCCAGCGCTCGGATGGAATCCAGATTTCAGTGCAAACACAGCGAAAACCGCCGCATGTGGGACAAGGTTCGGTGTTCTGGTAGCGGATTAAAGATGCAGCTGCAGTCTTCTAACTCTACAATGAGAGAGGAAAACCACGGCGAGAAATAATAATTAAAAAAAAGAGGGACTGCTTCCACACCAGCAGCCAGACAACACAAACACAAGCAGCTGAGGAGGTGGCACGGTGGGGACAGGTGTGCTGGCAGCCCAGGTGCACAGGGTTTGCAACCCATGCACTTATTCTCCCTGGGGCTTCTATAGGCTCCGAGTTTGTTCTGGTGAATGCGTATGTCCTGGAAAGGTATTTCCAGCTGCAGAGGGTGGTGGGCTCGCTGCTGCTGCAAGAGAGCTGCCTGCCAGGGGTGCAGCTCAAGGTGCAATGCAGGACTCAGAGCAGCCCCACACGCAGAGCAGAAGCTGCCCAAGCACTTCCTGGTGTTTGCCCCAAACAAAAGGAAAACCTGCGGCTGTGCTTTCAGCCCCTTCTCCCCCCTTTCTGCCTGCTGCACAGAAAGTTCACAGCTGAATTCAGACCTGCTTCAGCCACAGACCTGCAGGGGAGGCCGACCTGCCCTATCTCACAGCCGCCATGCTGCAGCCAGCCCTGGGTACACACGGTGAGCAGGGGTGCACGCAGCAGGAGGAGCTCATTGCTGCACAAGGTCCTCACCCAGCTGCAGCTCCTCGGGACTGGGAGCAGGTGAGCAGAAGGGCCAATTTGGTGAGAAACTGCTGCAATCCCTTTTGCAGCATCCTGTGCTCATGCCAAGCATTATAGAGAGCTGAGCAAATGTATGCTAAGGATCCAAGGGTGGGCTGAAATCTGACCTGCAGGAGCCCATTTGGCTGTTTCCTCAGTCCCAGGCTTAGTGAAATTACGCTGCAGTGAAAATAAAGCAATTTCCAACACCAGATAGGGCAGCAGGGAGCTCTCAGGCTGGCAGCATCACCGCAGCACCTCCTGCCCCACAGCCTCAAGCTAGAGGACGCCTGTAGGATCCTGGCCAACCACTCTGACAGCAGAGAGCTCAGGCTAAAAATACATCTCTGACCGACTCCAGTGCCCCAGCCTGCAGTCTCGGCTGACCCCTGTGCCAGGCTGCTTGTCGTGGAACCCGCAGCACGTGACAGTGAGCGCGGGGGGCAGCAGGGCTGCCGTGCCCTTTCCTGCTGCGCTGTGGGCTCGCACGCGATGTGAGCAGCCAAGCAGAAATCCCAGGGCAAGGGGCAGAGGGTGAGTGAGGAGGCAGGCATCGCCCAGCACCGGGAGGGAGGGGGGAATGCAGCCCCAGCAACGAGCTCACAGCACCATGGATGCTGGAGATGCGCTGTTGGTACCCACAGGTGCACCCTGTGCACATCATCTGTGTGCTCAGACGAAACTCAGCCTCCTTCCTTCTACAAAGCCATGTTACAGATGGAAACAACAACTACAGGCCAACGTGTAGGATTTTACAGCCACTTAGATCATGACAAGCTCCAGGAGCAACTCCCCAGGCTGCTTCCTATGGCAGGCAGCAAGGATGGCCGAGACACTTTGCACACCGTCAGCATCCCAGCGCCCTACAGGACGACCCTGCAGCACTCCAGCCTCACAGCCCGGCTCCACAAACAAGCTCCAGCCACGAAACCTCTCCAGACACAGAAACCACTCCGGCTGCAGGCAGGTCTCACCCTGCTGGAGGGGCCGTCCCGGCTCCTGGCGCTGCCAGATAAAGGCCCAGGACCCCTCGGCCGGCACATTCCTCCCTTCTCCCATGCAGTGGGAAATATTTTCCGTGCGTGTCAGCACTGAGCAGCAGCCAAGTCCCAAACAGCGCCTGGTGACACTCCGCAGGCCCCCGCAGCCCCAGCGAGGAAGAGGAGGGCGACTCACATGTGATGAAGTAATCCTGCTGCCGCTTGAACTCCAGGCCCATGTAGTTGGGGCTGAACTCCTGAAACTTGATGGTGAAGCGGATCTCCTGCTCGGGCCGGTTGCACGTCACCAGCACATTGGGGTCCATGACAGTGCTGCAGGCATCTGCCTGATCCTTTTTCACCAGGTACAGCTTGTAGTACTCGTAAGGCTTGGACGGCTCCGCCTTGGGGCAGATAATGTCCAGTTTGTCCCCAATCTCCGGGTAGATGACCAACCCTTTCCCACTCATGAATCTGAAAGAAGAGGAGAAGGTGAGATGTTAGCAACGCTCACACCCAGGTGTTCCACCCCGCGCACAGCCTACGATTTATTTTGGACATAAATTCCTCCGCTCTCCCTCCACAAAGTGCTTTTTTTGTTGTTTGACACCAACACGAAGCTCTCCCGTTCCCAGCAGCAAGGCCAGCACCTTCCCACCGCTGCTGCCATCCCACAGAGCCGGGCTGGGCTCTGCCCATGCGGTGTGCCCCAAGGCAAGGCAGCCAGCTTCCTGCAGGGCCGGCTGTAATTAGGGAGCAGTGGGGAGGGATCCCTCCCCACCCCGCTCGCGGAGGAATTCCTGTCCTTACATGGCAGGGAGGGAAGCATCTCGCAGGGCAGCTCCTACCCACCCGGCCGCTGCCGCGGCTCAGCAGCATGCCCAGGAGCGTGGGAGGACCGGATGGAGAGGAGCGAGGAGGGAGGAAAGCTATTTGGGGCTGGAAGGCAGGGCATTGCGGAGGGAAGGAAGGCAATGTGCTGATAATTAACATTCAGATTTCATTATTGCAGAGCCATACTCTGAAGTAGAGGATTAGGGCAACGAGGAGGGAAGCAGCAGAGCATCTACTTTGATGTAGGCAACGTAATGCGTTCTGATGGAAGATAACATGGGAATGGATGTTCCCGCAAAGCTCTCTGCTGCAACTCCCTCACGTAATCTGTGCAAACCGGAGCACAGCTCCGCCGGGCTGCACACATCCACAGCTCCCCTCCTCTCTGCAGCCCCTGCCCCATGGCACGGCAACGGGGCTGCTGCCTCCTCCCAGCCTCAGCGGCGCGGGCTGAAGTTCCAGGCACCAAGGAAACAGCATCAAACATACAGGACCAACCTGCTCTGTGGCTCCTGTGCAAGTCTTAGCAAGAAGCCGCGGAGCTGAAACCAGAGCTGCAGCAGCCCAGGCTGTGGGCCTCTCGCTACACGAGATTTACACGCCAGGGAAGGCAGGCGGAGCCCAAGCCCACACACACCCCATGCCCTCGGCAAGGGCTCCTGAGTCGGGTTTCGGCTGCGGGATTGGGAGGGAAAGAAGCAGCAGGCATTGCCTGCACCTCACCATCAGCCCATGGGGCAACACCACGAGGCCAACCGGAGATAGCAGCTATGGCTGCCCTCCATCCGTGTTGCCTCAGCCGTGGAGCTGGATTTGGTATGCTGGCCACACCATGCTGTCTGCCCCTCACATCCCTCCAAGGACAGCAGAACACAGTAACCCAAACAGTGCAAGCAGGTCGCGAGGAACGGGGGCAATCTTGACCATCCCCACTTGACCAGCTGCGTAGAAGCAGCTCTGACTCCTAGAAGCCACAACCTCCGGGACAAGGCTCTCCAGTGGCCCCAGAACAGAGCAGGAAGTTTCACCCCTCCGCAGCCAGGCTGCCGCAGGAAGGTGGAAGGAAGGCAGCCGGTGCTCCAGGTGAGCCACCAAGTAGGTCAGCTGGACCCCAGCCAGAGCATTACACGCGATAAAGGCTTCCCCCACCCATCGCCTGTGCCCTGATGCAATCCCAGGAGATGTTCAGTCAAAGATGCAAAGAAGCCCCTGCCCCTCCCTCCCCTTGCTCACCAACCCCACCCCATCCGAGGCCACAGACATGCAACACAAGTAAACACTTGCATGCTCACTCACAGGTTCCCACCCTGCGAGGCAGCTGGATCCCACATTCATTTCTCCGCAGTTGGGCTGAGTCAGACGCTTTCTGGCAAAGGGCTCCCGAGTGACTCAAATTCCCTCCTTCAGCCTCTGCCAGCTCCCTTCTGCCCAAAAGATGCCAAACAGGAAGCCGCAAACAAGTCGAGCAGATGTCTCGCGACTCCGGAGCCAGGGCAGAGGGCTCCCATCCACCTCCCAGCAGTGCCAGCACAGCCCGCATGCCATCCCCGCGGCTCCAGGTCGGGTCACGCCAATTTCTGAGCGCAGCAGGACGGGAAAACGTGGGGAGGGAGGGAGATGATAAAGGAACGCCGCTGAGAACATCCAAGCGCAGCTCCCTGTTGGCATACCCTAATCTCACAAAGCTCAGAAACGTCTGTTGTATTTGTTTTTAAGGACAAAATCACAACCAATTTTCTTAACACGAACGCTCCATCTCAACTTCAGAAGCACACAGCTTCTGCCTGGGCATCAGCCCAGGAATATTTTCCAGGCTTTCTACACCAGCACCAAGAACCATTCACCGTCGCCGCACGCAGCACTCTGTCACTGTCATCCCACGGCCCCACAGATGTTTTCTCCTCCGTTTCCCCCTCGGCGTGCTCCTCTTCTCTAAAAGCAGGGCTGCCTCCAAGTGAAAAGGCTCTTCAGCCTTAGCAGTGATAGGAAACCCCTGAAAGTACCTTCAAAACAGCTCCTCGTTTCTCTGAACCCCTAATGGCACATCAAGGCTTTCCCCCTCACATTTGGAGGTGTTTTGCAAGCACTGGCTTGCGGCAGCTATCCACCCATTGGGCGAAAAAGGTGAAGAGCATCATTCCTCACAAGAACAGCCAAGAGAAAAGCACCAAGCATTTGGAGAAGTCACCCTCGGACATTATTAGAGCAAGTTCTGCACATGAGAAATTTTACTTTAAAAGGGTCTCTGAAGGCAAAAAAAGGCTCAAACTCCTGGCACGAGGTGACTCATCCTTACAAGGACACATCTCCAAATTGATGTTAACTGGAAAGAATGAACAAATTACTTTTAAATTAAAAGGGAAACTCAGTGAGCCCTGAGAGCACATACTGCAGTTTTGGGGAGGATCTGCTGTATTCCTCATCCATACAGAGAATGATTTCCCTGCTTTACGGGGGGGAGTGGAATGAAATTCAATTCAACCTTAAGGATGAAACTGTGACTGACATCTGCATAATAAAGCACTCGGGGATGCGGCTCGAGACATGCAGTGTATTAGACAACTTAAATTAGGATACGGCAGACTGGTGAAGCACTGAGAAGGAGGATGGCTGTTGCTCAAAGCAATAACCTACTTATGTCCCAGCCTCAGACAGCTACAGCCAGCACTGGGGATGAGCGGACCCCGCGGCAGGGATGGGATGGGAATGGAGTGGGAATGGAACGGGCAGCACACAGCCTGCAGCACCTTCCCCAGCACCTTTGCCACACAAAACCTCCAGCCAGCCCTGCTCTTCTGTGCAAATCACAGCACGATGGTTTCAAGGGCAGCAGAACCAGGCAGCCTTGTCACCCTCTGCCCCCCTCTGCTCTCCCAGCACCCCACAGGAACGCTCTCGCATCTTGCACTGGTGCCAGCACAAGCATGCGAGGTGCCCATCCTGCACACGCTGCATTTGCTGGGGTCAAACATGCAAGAAAGAAAGCAAAGCCGCTGCTGGGCTGGAGAAGCACGGGCTGCTGCACGCGCTGGGATGCTTCTTCCCCAAGGACCTCCCAAGTCTAAAGGCTGGAGCCGTTCAAGTCGCTACGAAACCAGCAGCAGGCACTTAAAGCCGATGCAAATCGGGAAGCGTGCTCTGCTCAGCTCAGCTGGGCCTCCTTTTTATCTGGAAATCTCAAGTGCTTCATGAGATCGAGCCTCGCAGCCGCAGGAGACAGCTGAAGGGCTTTGTCACCCCCGAGCGCAGCGCTGCTGCAGGCAGGCTGACGGCCACACGGTTGGCTCGAGCTCAGCTCCATCCGTCCCTGCAACCCAGCGCCTCTCACGGAGCGCACAGCCTCCCCACGTGCCCCCCTTTGGGACAAGGAGGACATTTCTGCTTCGATTCATGGAGTATTTGTAACCACCGCGAGTTAACAGCTCATGGAAAACATCTCCACATCCTTTCTTCCGGCGTCAGACGCGGTGGGAAAGATTAACTGCAGCTACTTGAGTCACTTTCATTCCCAGCGGGCTCACCACATCAGGGTGATGCTGGTGGCACTGGCATTGCCACCCACAGACCCAGTCGGGCTCCCAGTGCTGCATCCCGGGTGTGCAGCCCCGCGCACCGGCCGGCCCCGCAGCCCCACAAATTCCTGGCCCTGCAGGTTCCTAGGGAGCTATCAGGTGGCAGCGTCCAATTTCCTCATTGTTTCGGGAGGTGTTTTCTGATGGGAAAGGTGAAAAGGGTATTTGTGAGCCTTGTAAACCGATTCCTCCGAGTTGGGTAAACAAGGGGAGCTCTGTTGGCAGCCAGCCCCTGCAAGCCGGAGATGCCTGAGCTGAGAAACCCAAGCGGGGGGCAGTCCCCCACCCAGCCAGGGACTCAGGGTCGCTGGGGGAGCCCCATGCCCCAGTGTGGATGGAACCAAAGGGACAACCCCTGAGCCCCCAGCCAGCGGGAGCCGACAAAGCGACAAGGGTGCAACAAGTGGGACCAGTGCAGTGACACAGGTTCCGTGCTCCCCAGCTTGCACAGCGTCTGGTGTCAGGCACGGCTGCACTGGCATCGCAAAGGGGATTTAACTGGAGAGGAAAAGGACCAGAGTGATAAGGGATAATCCCTCAAAATATGCCGCTGGGTTACTCGGGGGGGGATTTCTGTGGCCTTTGTTGCACCAGGCTGCACTCAAGTCAGTTTACAGGACTCTAGCCCAGAATGTTCCTCAAGCAAAGGAAGACACATCCCGCAGTGCCTGCTGCTCACCCTGGTTCCACACTGAAGCACCACAGCTCCGCCAGTCTGTGTCAGCACACAGGAAACTGGTAAATATGCACATAATTTAAAGAATGGGTTAACATGCTTTCAAACAACCTATCTCCCAGCCCAGGTACTTATTGTGCCATGAGAACTGCAAAACCTCTGGGGCAGGCATCACATTTCCCTGTGTCTGAAGAACAAAACGTAGCTCTTACTGTATTTCAGGCTTTGCAGAAAACAGAACAACACAGAACAGCCACCCCCTCCTTGGATAAGATACTCCGAAGCATGAATTCTGACATACATACAAGGTGACATATGCTGAATGCTGTTTTCTTCAAAGAAATCCAGAAATAGCCATCTTGCAAGGAGGACATGTACTCTTAGCAGCCAGG